TTTTTTTTTTTTTTTTTTTTTTTTTAATATTCTAAACCCTAAACCCTAATTTCAAAATCTGTTCATCCACCAGCTTTTGTGTGTGCATTCATTAATTCTTGGTGTTTGAATATGAATGACAGTTTAGGAGACGCAGACAAGGTGACCGACTTGACTGGTCTCTTTTTTCTTTTTCCACATAGGCGTGCCTAACAATCCCTCCATCATGACACGTGTCAAAAAAGACGATAGACCCCAATATTTTACACTATTTGGACCAATTGTAATCCGCCACGTCCATATTATAGTTATCGAGAAAAGAATTAACCTGGTGGAAGCCTCGTTCTCTTGTGAGTGGCACACCGAGCTCGCTTATACAGGCCCAAACCCTTTGATCAGAGCCGTAGAAAAAATGGTAGCGTTGAAGACACCCGTCCATCACGTTCACCAATTGGGCGGCGAGTGGGTAACTGATCGCAAATCCGCCGCCGCCGAACGCCATTTCATACGAGTGCATCTCGTCTTGCTCCACGCTCTCGGAGTTTCCGCCAATGTAATACATCTGATTGTGATCATATTTCGCTAAAACCGAAACTAAATTCTCCGTAAAAAACACCGTATCATCATCTCCCATCACGAACCACCTCACGTTTTTTAACCCCAATTTAAAACCCTCCACTACAATTCGAGCCATTCGAACCGCCGCCGACTTACACGAGTAATCCGGCCCGGAGCACTGCCCCGACACCCGATACGGAACGAGTTGGGTTTTTCTCGGTTCCCCATCGAGCCAAGCGAACCCGCGATTCCGATTCGGATCCCACCAGAGGTGTGTGTAGAGACTGCGATCTTCCCACGTTTGAACCGAGGCGCCGATTCCGAATACGATGTGGGATATGTTGGTGGCGGCGTCTGAGGTGTGGGCGTCCGGTTCAGAGACAGCGGTTCGGGTGCGGCGAGGAAGGATGAAGCGGCGGGGGTCAGAGATGAAGGCTGAGTGGATGGCGAGTAACATGGAGGCGACGAGACAGAGGAGAAGGGCGGCTCTGGCTAAGAGAAGCAAAATATTGGAGAGATTTAGGGGAAATACAAACAACTTTTTGAAGGTGTTGATTAGAGGTTGAATCGGTTTGGAAGCGGCTTGAAAGGTCTGCATGTTGAATCGGAGGAGAAGAAATTAGGAGAAGCAGAAGCAGAGACACAAATGGTTTTGAGTGAGGAAGGGAATGGAGTTTGGAAAAGGAGGGGACGCCAAAGTCGTTACCTTTTTCCTCCTTTTTATTATTAGTATTAAGTGGTGTGGATTTTACTTTCTTAACAAAACAAATACTAATTTTCTCATTCAACAAATTCGTTTTCATCCTTTGTTATTTTTCTAATTTTTCTTTTTTTTTTTTCCTCGAACCCTACATAAATGCACCAAAGCCGCATCCGAATGAGAGCAATACGGCTTATACAGGCCCGGCCCACCGAGCTCACTTAAAAGAATTGAAAGTCACTACTTATACCAACAAGGTAAACTTTCGTTTTCGATTACTCTTAATGGTTAAACCTGTTTTGTTTGAAGTAATTTTATGCTAATGACTTCTTAAGAGTTATTTTACCATGTATATGAGTAAAAACAAAACATGCTTAAAAGAAAGAATATGTGTTAAATAGAAATAGTTTTCACTCTTAAAAGTGACTATTAGTCTTTTGGTAAACAGGGGTTTCTACAAAAAGGGACAACGTTCAACGAAATACAAATATTGATTATACGTTGGAGCTTGTCGGATTCTTGGCATTAGATGTATTTCTCAGAGAACGAGAGTGATAACAAACTTGGACTTGTTTGGCTTGATTAGACTAATTAATAGGCTGGCTTCCTTTGTTTGACGCCATTTCTTAAGGCAGTTCAATCATTTTGTCGTGCGGGAGATATAGGAGAGCGTTGAAATCATTAAATGTCAAATCTAGATTTCAAATTATAATCCGAATCTTGGGTATGGTTCTTGTAAACTCCGCTCCCTTTTGGTTTGAAACTATAATGAATTTCGAAATTAAGGAACCAAGAGATGTGAGAGTGGTATATGGTAGCAAACGTGAGACAAAGACAAAGGCTACGACACCAACAAAGGTCATTGCAACGAGGAGAAGAAAGAAGCTAGAAGGATATGACAACTCATATTATTATTATTAATTGAGGTGGAAATTAAATTAATTTTATTATATCCTAAAGAAAAGAAATTAGCGAAGCTTCAAAATAAAAGAAAAAAGACATTTAATTAATTGAAGGGTCCTTTATTGTCATTTCAGTTGCATAGGTAGGCCCCACCCACTGTCAGAGCCTTTATGGTTCTTGTATACGTGTTAGTGACAGGATATTCGCAAAAGCTATCCTTTCCCATAAACAGTGGGCCACAAAGGACTTTTCCGTAATTTCCTCGTCCCTTCTCGGTGGATTCTTTTTGGGCTTTTCTTTTATTCTTATCCACGTTTTTTACCCTTCCCCTGCCTTTCCAAATACAAAAGGTTTAAATTTTCCTACGTCTTTCCTATTATGCCCCTCCTTTATGATTTTTATTTTTTAATTTACTTTTGTACATTCTATTCTTTCTTCCTTTATTCACTGCATTCTATTATTATAAAATTACGGATGGTTAGTTATTTATAATAAACGTTATTAAAATTAAAAATTATTATTTAAATCATATTAATTAAATAGTTTTAAAATTTTAAAATAACCCCTACAACCAATTACGAAAAGCCACGTGTTGAAGGGTGCCAACGGAGAAGGCACGGCACACTTCGGTACATCAATAATAGCGGAGTGATTCAAGTCATTTCCAAATAATTATTTATATGTGACCAAATTTTACGTAGGCTTCAGTTGATGGTCTAGTCCTACAACAACTAAATTTTAGGCAGGCCTATCAAATATTAATTATTTAATTATTTTAAGAAAACGACTCCTTATATTTTTTTTTAATTAGTTCTTATATATTTTTGTTTTTATTGTTCTTTCAAACTAAATATGAACTGGGTCAATGTGATTGAATATACTCATCTATTTTGTGAGATCCCACGTCAATTGAAGAGAGGAGCGAGTGCCAGGAAAAATGCAAGGGTAGATTGTGAGATCCCACAGTCGGTTGGAGAGGGGACAGAACATTATTTATAAATGTATGAAAACCTTTTTCTACAAGACGCATTTTAAAAATTTTAAGGGAATATCTATTAGCGGTGGACTTGGACTGTTACACATTTTCTAAGAGGTTCATCGTCAAAATAATTCTTAAAGGAATAATCTACCTCCTTCAAGCCTCACTCACATTAAAAAAAAATCCATTTACCAAACAATATATTTTGTTCATTACATGAGGAAAGTCAGCCCTAAAACAGGATTTCAACAACAAATTGAACTTATATTTAAGATGCGATTTAAATGTCCAGTCTCGGAATCTAGAACCGTTTGGAACTTACCTCATGTAGCTCTACTGTGTCCCTCTCCAGAGTACGCTATATTGTCAACGAATCTGCATCCATTCTGCAATTGCATTGCAAGAGAGACAAATACACACACACATATATACACGTCACCCGAAGATAAAAGCATTTGTTGGGCCTCTATTCCACTTTTGGAGAATTCCAAACAAACTCGATGTGAAATCTTAGAGAGGAGAATGAAGCATTCCTTATAAGGGTGTAGAAATCTTTTCTTAATAGACCCATTTTAAAACTACGAGGCTAACAGCGATTTTGAGCCAAAGTAAACAATATCTACTCTTCCACAATTTCCATTTCATTATCCAAATTCCTGACTCTAATACTCTGCATATGATAAGGAGTTCCAGATTTTCTACAATGTAAAGCAGCTATGGAAAGAAGTCACTTTCATTGGGACCAACAAGCCCACTACTTCATCATGTATCTAAGAATTACTAGAGAGTGTTATATTCGCAACTTTACGTGTCTTAGATTTTGTCTAACTTGAAGTCTAGAAGTTTAAATATGATTAACTTCAGTTTCCAACTCAGATGAATTGAGTTTAGTAACATTAGATTTACATAATCTATGTCTAGTTAGAAGATTTGTGACATACAGAAATCAAAATGTATAATCATGAGGATGATAGTAAATAAACTTCACCTTCCAACTCCAAGTTATACAAGTTCAGTTTGTTGATCAACCAGTGAACTGTTCACAATTGAGTCACAAAATATTAATACAACAAAATTGGCTCTCATTTTGAAGCCAGTTTAAAAAATATATGACAGAAAAATTGAACTATATCAGCTATGAAATCGTCAGCTATAATGAAGGTATAATAGAGAGTACCTATATGATTGATTACATGTTGGAATTGGTAAGCCAAGGGCATCCAGAAGTTTTCACGCTTGAGATGATCTCTAAGTAGACATCTTTTATTGCTTGTTAAGATGGTGGTAGCTAATCTGGCCTTAAATAGGGGGTTAGTAGTGTAGGGACTGAAAACATTTTTTCTTCCCTTTTATGCACTTAGGAGGAACTTATTTGCCATCATGATCTTGTAACTTGCATGAGGGCCTTCTGACGTATCGTGCACATCCACTCGCCACCCCATGGCCTTCGCAATATGTTGAAGCTCATCTATGACTGCAACAGAGTCTCGGATGTATACTCGTCCACCCGGTCTCAGTATTCTATCCATCTCAAGCATTATGGTTGACATATTGCACCTGAAACACACGCAACAACCACTGAACAGTTGGTAGCCATCACAATGATTTCAAATTCGTTTCATTTTCTTCATTGGAATACATTATTTCGAATAAGGAGGTAGTGTAAACCAGGAATAAAGTAATCTAAAGAAGTTAAAACTGAGAAATCTAATAAATTCGGGGTACCTTTTCCGTTCGACTGAGAACAAACCAGCTGCGTGCAATAAATCATATGTTCTTGGATATGTATCAAATGGTTCACACCTGACATGTTACACTATTACTTTCTCAGTTATCGATTATCATCACTTCTTTTATATCTATGTAGCTTAAAGCATGCATTCAAAAGCTTAATGCCTAACCAATAGAGGAAAAGTTTCGTATGTTACCAATCGTGCATAACTCCAAGAAGTCCACGATCATAAATAACAGGCAAGGTGTTGAACCCACTAACCGGAACAACATTCAACACCCAGCAATCTAGTTTTAAATCGATCAAAGCCGCAGCAAATCTGTTAAAATTCAAGATCTTAACCATCCATATCAGGGAAAGAATGAAGAAATGGAAGATCAGTGGAAGAGTGGTCAACATACATACCCTCCAAATCCTGCTTTCATATCCATAACGTTTCTTAGTCTAAATGTCTTCCAATGAAATGCACGAACGTAGCTTTCTATTATCTCATTCCAGTATTTAGATTCTGCCTTGAAGAGCTCATTTCTGGAAATGTAGGCATCATATTGTATTGTCTGAAGCCTATCAGGTGGTGTGTGTAACCGCGCAGGCCAAACAGTGATATTTGCCCCGTAACCGTCTTCTGGAAGGCGAGAGATGCATGTCTTAAGATCTTCATTCCTGTCTCCAAAGAAGTAATCAAAGATTACACAAAATTATGTAGCAATGAGACTTAATCTACAGGAAAATAAAAACATTCATACCATACTCTGTCTGGGTCGTCATTTTGGTCACAAAGTGGTGGTTTAGTTCCTGCCTCGCGATTAAGATAGCAAGTATTATTTAATGGCTTCCGCCAAATTGCTATATATCCATCTTTCTTCACAAACTCCCAACAAAGTCGGGTGGTAAGATTGAGCATCTCTGACAACCAAAAAAGAAAAAAAGAACATACATATAAACCACACTTAAAAGGTCAGAGATAAACATCAGATCCGTTAAGATTCCACAGCAATCTTAAATGTCTGTACATATCATCTTAAAACCTGCAACAAACAATTTCTACTACTTACTAGAAGATAACAAAAATAACTTGCAAGAGAAGAGAAGAAGGTTTGTGTTATAATAAGAAAGCAAATAGTAGGCGCAAGAAAGTAGACTGCAAATTTTCAAAGCTCTAACTTAGAAATGCGCATCAAAACAAAACTTCTAAGGCTAAAACACATCATCAACAGGATATCTCAAGGAAACTTTTGGTTACCTCCCCACTGTTCCTCCAAAACTTCTTCGTGCTTATAAACTGGTTGAGCTGCCCATGCAAAGTATCCTCCAGCTCTGAGCATTCGGTTAACCTCAAGCAGCAAAATGCCATCTTCATATGACAAGTTGAAGATGAAAAATCAACATCCATAAGATAAATCTAAAATAAATATACTTCATGGATCAAAGCTTAACTGGGCAAATAGTTTAACTAGAGAATGCCTGCCACATTGGAAACATGAATTTCAGGAAAACCCATTTGACATTCACTGAGATTTTAATGAGCATTCAAAAAAGGGCAATTATTATTATTTTTGACAGCAATGATTTACGGTCCCGAGGGGAAAGCACAAGAAGTTCACACTTCACAAGTATTTGGGAGTTTACTCCATACTACATAGTGCTAAGTTCCCAATAAAAGAATATTAATTAATAAAATGGTGTTCATTTTCTCATCGAGACTGATATGAATTAAAGCTAATGAATGTCTAGAGTAGTTATGGCAAAGAAAAATGTCTTCCTTAAATTGAGTACCAAAGAAAATTCCTTTCTTTACCCTGCTCATACTTATGTGACACAAATAACGGATGAGAGAAAAAAAAGTACCATCACGAGTCCAGTTGATTCTGCATCGTGAACAATGTATCAAGTCAAAGGCTTGACTGGGATATAATAAGCGATGAGTTGCAAATGCAGCAACCATTGCAGGCACACCACGTTCAAGAGCAAATTGAATCTGATTCTCATGAACATCTTTTGGAGCAATTGACATTGTAACGACATCACGTGACAACAAATAGGCGCCAAAACTTGCAACTCCACATCCAATATCCATAACAACGCGAGTATGATGACCAAACGCGATATCAGGGATCATCTAGTCAATATATAAAGAAAAAGGATCAGATGCCATGCTACCCAATGCTTAATTCCTATGCTGAACTTTCAGAATCACAGTCTTGTTTACCTTTGAAATGTGATCCAAATATTCATCTGCTCCATGTATAAACTGTGTACCACCTCCAGGAAACCTAAACTTATCTTTGTCTCTGGTAATCCAGTTCTGGCCCCCTTTATCCTCAACTAGACGAGTATGCGGAACATTGCTGAACCAGACCTAAAACCAATGATTTGCCCAATTTAAGAAATCTTCAAATATATTCAACTAAACGATAAATCTTCATCGGTTGTAGTGATTTCAAATCATTCAATTTCAGCAATTACTTATTATTGTAAACGTGCAATACCTCGTCTCTGCTTTTTGGCCAAGGGATCGGGGCTCGATACCCCTTCGGCGGCGGAATCAAGCAATCGAAACCTCCACCGGCAACTGGGCAATGTCTCTCGAACTTTTCCCCTTTCTCCGTTGACTTGAGCTTTGCAATTGCCTCTTGATTATCCAAACAAGGTATATACTCACTCATGTTCTGAGGGCAGAGGCCGAACTTCTTAATCCGGAAGTTCCTAGAACTGCCCTCGCCATGGTGAACCTCAGTGGAATTCCCCCAATTCTCCACATATTCAGGATCCAAATCCCCGACCTCAAATTGATCCGACATTGTTCCATTCTTGTCCAGAATTCCAAATCTCTGAACCGAATCGGACGGCGGAGGAGGAGGGTCGGTACGAAGCAACGGCGGTGGAGTTGGGTCGAGATTCAATGTCTTATCAGGAAGCACGTGCGTATCATTCTGATGAATCAGACTAGAGATATTGAAGTGTTTATCATAGTTCGGCGAAAGTGACACCGAGGAAGCTTGAATGGTGCCGGTGTAGAAGACAAGCTGCTGGTACCCATCGGACCAATGCTTCCCAAAGTAAAAGAAGGTAACAGAAGCAAGAAGGAAGATAGCGATCTTGAATAATGGAGAAGTTCGAAAGGATTCAGCATTCACCAAGGAATCCGACCTCATTGTTGGAGTTCCAGATCTCAGATCTTCTCTCCACTTCGCTCAAGCGCCGGCACTTTCTCTACAATGGAAGGAATCGGAGGAGGAGAATTTGCGGAGATGTTGCAGAGCAGAAATTAGCGATAAATTATTGTAATTTTTCTTTACAACGTAGGGGTATGATATGGGAGAAGACATCTCTGACAACTGTCCCAAGGAATGGCCAGGTCACTGGAGTTCGCGTTGGTTCTTACCCCGAGGTGCACCGAATCTCCGAATAACCTCCCTCAAAAGACGCCACGTATTAAGGCGTAGTTTATAAATGGAAGCCCGTTCAGTCCAGTTTCCATAAACAACACAAACCAGGTAACATACCGGTGAGTTTTATAAACGGCGTTGCCAAATGAATGAATATACGCGCGGTTTTCCGCAAAAAAACAAAAAATAAACAAAATACAAAATAAAAAACTGAATTGGGCCTGCCCAAAGCTAAGTATGGCCTAGGCCCATATTGGACCACAGCACGTTCTGAATTTGGGCTTTCTATTGGGCTTTTTTTAATTTAAAAAAAAAAAAAAACAAAAAGTAATTTTAGTAATATTATAATCTAAGCTGATTAAATGTGGTTTTAAGCGTGCTTGAAGGCTTAACCTACGGCCGAATCTACGTTAATTTACTTTTGACTTTGTCAAAGCAATTAACCAATATTTATTTTGCTTCATAATGTATCAAAGCATCATGCAAAAGTCAAACTGTCAAACGTTTTTTATTATTATTATTATTTGTTAAAAAAAAAAAATGAATATATGCAAAGTTTGGTATGCAATCTGGAACTCGTTTATTTTCATAACGTGGACAGCCTTGGGTTGGCTTTGCTTGGGCAGTGAGTAATTTAATGCCTTTTTCCATTATATAAGCAAATTAAATTAGAAAATAAATTAAAATAAAAAGCATATTCCCTTTCGTAATCATACAATAACCATTTTAAATCCGCTACCGACACTTCCTTTTTATCCCTTCTTCATTCTCCAGATGTGAAGCATTGTGACTGTGATTCTACCAGCGTCACTCCCAATCATATGTGCCCACGTGTTCCACTTTTTCGTTCCAAACAGGGGCTCTTGGCGGACGTGAACCACTTCCTTTGACCGCGAGAAAACAGAAACGTAATACGACCAATCAGAATTCTAATTTATTTATTAATTAATTGAAATCCGCGAGGGCGATGTTCGTTCGATGCGCATATTTATGGACACCGACAAGGCCTTTTTTTCCTCTGCAGAAGTCCTTTGTTTTAGATCAGAACCCGACGGAACCAAACGCTCAGGTCCTTCCGCGGGAAAACTCTGAACGAGCGCTCGCGGTTCGTTGCCTACTCGTAGCTCAGCTTCATTTCGGTTTCGGCTTGGGTTCTGATCCGCTGAGATCTTAGGTAATTTTGCATTTCAATTCTCCTCCTCATTTTCGCTTCTTCGTTTCTGGCTAGATCCGCGGTTTCGTTGCGTGTTCTTTGACTTTTGAAACCGGGAAAGGATTTTGGAGTTCATGAAACGTTGAATTTCACAATGTGGCTGCGAGTTCATTGGAATTTGGAACCATAACTCACGTTTTTCGTGTTTGACTGTTCTGATTTGATTTATTTGTGCCAGGAACTTTTTAACTGGATCTTCTTCGTTGATGTTTTTTTTTTTTTTTTGATTGAATGCTTTGGTAATGAAGTAGCTTCACATTTTGTGATGTCAGATCTGATTAGATTGCAGCTATTATACCAAGTTCACCCCACTGATTATACGTATTACAATGTTTTTTTTTTTTTTTTTTTTTTTTTTTTTTTTTTTTTTTTTTT